ATAAATGCTGTTCTTTTAAACTTTCTATTCATTAAAGAATCCTGAAAAAAAATACACAAATCTACAAAAATATTTATTTATCACGATTAATATTAGCTTTTGGTTATACTACCCATCGATACTTCAAAAGATACTACAAAATAGATGTTATGGCTATTTCAAGATCTTTAACAGCAGTTGTCATTAAATATTGATTAAGCATTTGCATTACTGTATGTTCTTGCAGTCCCTCATGTTCAAAGTCATGTTCGAAATGTTCAATAGGTCAGCATTGTGAAGGGAAGGAGGATGGAAAGAAAGGGAGCAAAATGGAGCGAGAGTCTGAGAGAGACGTAGGAGGGGACCCGTCTCAAACAGAGAGAGCTGAGAGAGCAAGAGCGATGGAAGGGGAGACAGAGAGTCAAGCTGAGATCAACAGCAAAGACGAGAGTCGAGAGGTAAGACGCTTTTCTCAGCTGTACAATCCAACTTTACTAAATTCAAACAGTTTTCATATGAAACTGAACTGTGCAGATTCAGATCCCCACATTCTTCCATAATCACCTTTTGTTTTATTTCTTCTTTCAGGCAGGACGCAGGGAAGCTTCTGTTTTGGACCCCCCACCACCCCCTTTGCAGACTGACCCCCCTTCAGTTAAAAAGACCAAGTTCCGACCACCTCCACTGAAAAACACCACTGATGCTGGTGACAAGTGAGTGGCATTGCCCATGATCAGTCGAGAGCAGTTTTTAGTATACCATTTATAGTATTTATTATTATATAATTAATTAGCTTTTATTTCTATATTTTCTGTTTTCATTCTTTTAATTGTTTGTTTTTAATAATTTGTTATTTAGCTTTAATTTATTTTTATTTTATTTGTAGTTTAGTAATATTAGCACTTCAACTCAAACTTGTTTATTTCAGTTAGTTGCCAGGCAACATTTCTCGTTTTCATTTTCACGTTTAAATTTTTAAGATTAAAAGGGGTCCTATTATGCTCTTTTACAAAGTCTTGATTTTGTAGTTTTTGATTTAAAGGTCCAGCTTAAAGTTGACATTTTTTATCTAATATATATTGCTTTACTTCAGCTGTAATTCAATCAATAAAGACCAGTTTAAGTTAACAATAACAACAATAGTTAAAAGCCAGTGACACAAACGATGTAACAGTATCACCATGCGGCCAAAAAACGTAATATGTGTATGTACACAGGTGCATTATATTTTTAGCCAGTGTGTTGCAAGCATGTGGTCAATGTTATATACTGAATATACTTGCGTTACTGTAAAATGAACACATCTTAGTATTCAAGGTGGCAGTGGACCTTCAAATATTTTTGACATATATTTGATATTACTCTGTTATCTAGCTACAGTTTACTAATTTACTTCAAGATTTTCTTCAAACATTTGCTCAGCCATGACAGTATTTGACCTGGAAGGGAAAACTGACTGTAGTGCACCATTTATGCCTAGTATGCATTGCTACTGTAGGAAACTTTTTCCTCGTCGAAGCAGAGACCAGGAGACTCTTGGGTATCTTCAGCAGAGTTCTTTATTGAGAACGCGCTGCGTGGCGCTGCAGTCATCAAAAGTCTAACTAAGGTGTATGCGTATACAGCTAAACGTGTCTCCGTGTGGACGGGGCCTAAATATAATGAGAAATTGCAAAGTCAAATACCATGTTTTTCTCAGACAATCACATGTACATTCATGCATTTAGCAGATGCTTTTATCCAAAGCGGCTTACAAAAGAGGAACAAAAGCAATTTATCAAAGAGCCAATAATATACGATGCCAGGTTTAGTAGACAACTACATTGGGAAGCAAGCTAGAGAAATTTTGGTCCCTCCTTTCATAACCTTTTCTTTCCTTCCTTAGATCTAGACTCCGCCGACGACCCCAGTTCACCACGGAGGAAGAGTTGCCGCTTGTCCAGCTGCAGCTCAGAGCCCAACACACCCAAGAGTGCTGCCAAGTGTGAAGGGGACATCTTTACCTTCGACAGGGCTGGTGGGCTCAGTTTTATGCTTAAACTCAGTCTCATGAACCCATGCATAAAAATATTTATTCATGTGTGTTTTCTTATCTTTTGTGTTTATCAGTTGGAGAGACAGAGCATATTTCGGAGGAGTCGGACCGTGTGCCACCTTCCTCTCTGCGTAGGATGTTGGACCAGCGGCGTGCGCTCGTTATGCAGCTCTTCCAGGAGCACGGCTTCTTCCCCTCAGGTAACATCAAGTTAACCATCTCTCAGTATAGCACAGCCAGACTTTTGACTTGAATGGACACTTTTCACATTTCCGGGTTTCTCAGCAGAGGAAGTCATCATAGTTGGGTAAACTTCAATAGCAGTGAAGGGAGAGTACCACAAATATATATTTTTTTGCATTCCCATTTGCTCAAATAGCAAAAGAAAACTCCACGATAGTGTTTTCATGACTTTCGATAAAATGAAAAAAAAATAGAGAGAGTGAGAACGGCAGTCAGAAGAGAGAACGATGTCAAATTAACCGTCACTCCCGTAGCCGCTGCATTAGAAACACTCTCGCATTAGTGTTAACAATTTTTTTGTAATTTGACGCAAAGGTAATATAATACAAAGTATAGTGTTATAAATGTACATACACTTTTTTAAAAATGAAAATATAAAACATTTGGAAGGATTTGTGATGGTGGTTGAGGAGATTCTCCCTTTCTATGTAAAGCGCTTTGAGTGCCCAGAAAAGCGCTATATAAATGTAAGGAATTATTATTTATTATTATTATTTTTATGATGCTGATGTCCAGTGAAACGCGACAATCACAATCTTGTACACAGGGTCCATTGAATTTATACTTCTGTTGAGCAAAAAAAGTCAATTTCAAATAAATGCTGTTCTTTTGAATGATCTATTCATCAAAGAATCCTGAAAAAAAACATCAACATTTCCACAACAATATTAAGAAGCAACTGTTTACAACATTGGTAAGAGTAAGAAATAACTGAGCAGCAAATTAGCATTTAAGAATGATTTCTGAAGGATCATGTGACACTGAAGACCGTAGTAATGGCTGCTAAAATCACAGGAATTAATTAAATGTTAAAATTTAAATTTTAAAAATGTAACTATGAAAATTAATTAAATGTAACTAATTAAACTATGAAAGTTTGTTTCCACCAGAATTCAGAGTTCAGAATTCAGAAAAGTACCACAGTTCTGACTTTACATCTCAATTCTGAGAAAAAGCCAGATATAAAGTTAGAATTGTGAGATATAAACTCAAAATCGCGAAATGTATGATAAAAAGTAAATTTTTATGAATGAATAAATTAAATTTTTATAATTAATATAAAAAATTTTCAAAACAAAATTGTACAGTTATCAAATTCATCGCTTCAGAGGCTCAATGATATGCAATCAGCCATTGTTGTGAAGGCAAAACTTAACTTGCATATTTTTTTTCTTTCTGGTACAGCGCAAGCCACAGCTGCCTTCCAAGCTCGCCACTCGGACACGTTTCCCAGCAAGGTGTGCCTGCAGCTGAAGATCCGCGAGGTAAGGCAGAAGATCATGCAGACTGCCGGCAGTTTTGAAAGCATGGGAGGCGTGGCCATTGGAAGCTCTGACTCCGCCTCTACTCCCGGACCATCCAATTCAGCGGCCAGGGAGAATTCCGAAGCGGACGAGAGGGGCAGGGCCACGGAAGAGCCAAAGAAAGACGCGGCCGATCCGCAGGAGTCGAGATGAAGAACGACAGAGGAGACGAGCGGAACGAAAGAATGAAAGGCGAATGTAGGGATGGATTCTAGAAATGTGTAAACCCATTTCCGCTGGCGATATACAGTGCAGCACTTATGTGGATTTTGCTTCGTTCCTAATCGAACTGATTTCATTGCCATTGCGTTCACTTCGTTGATGTTCTGTTGTTATGCACAGTTACACACACACACACGCACACACACTTTATGCAATTACATAATAATATCACTTTCACACATTAACGACTTGCACAAGGAGCGCATGAGGTCGCACTCATTTGCATATGCCACTCGTGTTAGGCCGTCATTGGTCCACCTCTGCATTAGGGCGTGGCTTTACTTTCTGTCGGAATTTTAGAGCCCTTCAATGCTGCACCACAGGCAGCACCAAACCAGCCTGTCTGCACACGCTCAGTAAAGCCCCCTGCGTGGGGCCAGCACAGATTTTTATCGAATGGACTGAATGTTTTAGACGAGAAATTAGACTGTTTGAGGTACCGGTAACTTTCAATCCAAAACGGGGATGGGGTGGGTTGTGGGGGAGGGGGTACAAATGCGCTTGCACTTTCATTTGTAAAGACCGAGAGACAGAGGAAAGCAATAGCCGGGGGAGGAGAAGGGTCTTCGTGCGAATGTTACTCCCCCGTGACGGGGTACATGCATCGGCTGTTACTGTTCTTCAGCACGGGCTGTAAATTCACAGGTTTTTTTTTGGTTTTCGTCCCAGAAGCAACAAACTCGAGACTCGTAATCACGTAGACCAGCGGAGCAGAAAACAGAGGCTACGGCGACCGCCACAATCGCATAAACAACAACAACAACAACAACACAGCACACTCAAAAGCGAGAGAGGAAAACATTGTCCTAACCTCGAAAAGAAGACGCAAACGAATAGAGACACTACCCCTCTTCGAATCAACGTGTAGTTATGCTTTGTCGTTTTGTTGTTGTGTCGTAACGGTGGAACTGACTGATATCCTATTTTGTATTAGCTTGCGCCTCTCTTCTTCTTCTTCTTCTTCCTCTAGTAATATTTTCAGCATGGACTAATCCAGCTATCTAAGTGTTGGAGCGATTACGTCGAAAAGAAAAAAAACCTCTGGTTTAGCCTCTTAGCTGAAGCTCCTCTTCTCTGGCCACCGACTTAGGCTTTTCCCTGTACACTGTATATATATATATATATATATAACCGTGATGGCTGGGGAGGGGGGCAGAGGGTGGGCACGAGGCTCTCTCTGTGTTCTTTTCCTTGTTTCTTTCTTGCTTTTTTATATTTCAATCAGGTGTTTGCACAATATATGGTCCTAGACCATGGTTTAAATCAGGAAAGTATTTGTTTTTAGATATTTAAAAACTAACCAACGACTTTGTTCCATTGTGTTCGATTCTCCCTTTCCGCATCCCGTAAGGAAAGCCCTTGTTTTTTCATCTCCTTAAGACTTTTAACCCAAGTGTTGATGGAAAGTGCCACTTTAAGCGCTGGTCTGGAGTCAGAGTAAGCTTTGTAGTCTGCGACGACCATTTCGATTCGGGATTACGCAAGGGAAAGCTGACCCGAGACCAGCGCTGGGGCGGCATTTCTCAGGATCTCCTCTTTCTTACTCTGCCTCTTCTTTCATTGGTGCAATAGGACGTGGGTGGGAATTTTTTTTTGAAGTAGAGGAGTGACCTGTTAGTGCCATAGATTTTCACTGTAGAAGCTGTAATAAAAAAAATATATATATACATATATTGAAAGGAGAGTGGGGGGAAAAATCAATGAGTATCGAGAGAGAAATCCAAACTGAACAAACTAAAAAAAAATGTAACCTAGCACTTTCTTGCGTCTGGTTTTGCTGAAGGAGAAGGAGTGATGAGTATAAAAATGCTACTCAGTCTTCACTTGAATGTGTGACAATATAAATGTATAAATATACCAATATATTTCTATATGTCCATGATATACAGATGTCTGTGTGTGTGCGAGCGTATGTACTTAAACATTACATGCACCCTGACAAATCAAACTTACTCCCGAGCAAATGCTATTCATATTTTCCCTCCTGAAAATGCAGTGGCACTACATTAAAAGACTGTTAGCATATGCCTGAAAACCGGTGGCTACTGACGTGCGCGAGGAGAAATCGGCATATGTAACCATTCAGCTCGATTCTGAACTTGATTATTATCTGCCCTTTCTTTCCCTTCCCCCAGCGACAGACAAATGCTTGCACACACACACACATACCTGCACATGTATGCGTGTACACCTTATGATTGCGTATCCAATAAACTGTCTTTACGTTGGAGAAGGAGTTTTAGAGTGAGAAAGGTGAGTGTAAACTCATCAACAGGCATGTTGACCATGTGCAATATTTCTAAACGAGATTATTGAAAAAATTAAAGACCTAACACAACGCTTGTTTTTTGTCTAGTTCTTTTCGCATGTATGATAAAGGTATGTTATAGATGGATAGACAGACAGGTAGATAGTTAGATATACAGAATTCATTATCTTTATCAGACCTGATTTATTATCTTTATTAGTAATAAGGAACAGCTTATTTTATTAGTTTTTTTGTATTTAATATGAGTTTAATTTGAATTAATTTTAAATGTTTTGTTTGCTAATTATTATTATTATACACAAATAACATTGTGCATGATAAAGTTGAAAAAGCATTGATTTAGAATGCCATTTTAATATTTATTATCTTTATCAGACCTCAAGTTTTATTTACAAGTAATAATGAACACATTGTATTAGTGTTATTTAATATGAGTTTTATTTGAATTCATTTTAAATAATTTGTTTTTAGTTATATTTAATTATCATCATTATTAATATTATACACAAATAACTAACTGGGCATGATAAATTAGAGGCATATTAAAAAAGCATATGGATGCAGGGTGTTATTTTTATAATCTATTATAATATATCATCTTTATCAGATCTAAAGTTTTATTTACAAATAGGAACAGCTCTTTTTCTTTTAATATCTATCTATCTGTCTGTCTGTCTGTCTATCTATCATCTACTTTTGTTAGTTTTAATATGCATTTTATTTTAATTATTTTTAAATGATTTTTTTAAATTATTATTATTATTAACAACGTACAAAAATAACTAACTGTGCATGATAAAGTTGGAGGCAGTGACTCGGGTGTGTGACACCTGCTCCTTGGATCCTGGAGTTGTTTGGAGTCCGGATCAATATAGCGCGTCTACAGTGCGCCGCACTGCATTCCCCATACCCATGAGGCTGCGCGTATTCTCAGCGCGTGAGAGAGTGGGTGAACGCTGAGGGTCGCGGCAAAAGGTTTGTCTTCTTTTCGTTTTTAACCCAATGTTTCACCCCGCACCAGGCCAAGTCGACGAGGGAACCGCTGATCCTCGCCCCACAGCCTCGACACACTTTCAGTCAGATATGAACGGCAGCGGGCGGCCCAGGACGACCTCGTTCGCTGAGCCTCAGAGGGCGTCCGGAGCCGCTGCAGCATCCGCCGGATCCGCCGCTGTCGTGGGGAGCAACGCAGGAAAGCCCGGGGTCTCGCAGGCCTCGGCGGACAGTTCATCTGCTTGCGCAAATTTAAAACTATCTAGTGAGTATATAACCGAAGTTATCTCAGTTACGAGTCGACATATCGTGTATATAACTGAACAGCACACCCATGTTTTCTTGATATCGACAGTCGTGTCATCTTCACGAAACTAGCCTAAGCTAACCAAGGAAAATTGTCACAATTTTGAGTTAAATTATAAACCGAGAAATACTGACTAGCTGTGCGGCGTAGACAGCCTTTTGGGACATTAACAAAAATTCCAATGGCGTTGGCGTTGGTTCAGTGATGGTAATACCATGGTACTTTTATATAACATGGTACTGATTTCCATATGAATGTGCATTGTATTTATATGGAACATAAAATAATACAATGGTGCTGCCAGAGAAAACTGTATTACAATGGTCCCATACCCCAAAATAACACAACTTTACCATGGTAAGATGTCAGAAAACATGGCAGTACCCTAGTCAGTTGTGTAGTGCGATAGTGGATAATGCTATCTTAAGTAGGCAGCACACTAGGATTTAAGACACTATCATACACTTATAATAAGAATAACTGGTTGACAAGCATGTTCTTCCACAGTGCTGTTATTAAAGTGATTGTTTAAATGCTTTACTGGGCAACTTACTAGGTTGTAGGGCATGTTGAATAGGTGGTAACTACCCTTCCTGACACTGTCATGATGTCCTGTGTGAAGGACACAAACAGGTCAGGCCCGTATTTAGTGATATATGTGCCATGTTTCATTTAAACTTGCACACTTTTTTTACCAAGTACACTTGCATGAGGCTTTTTATTTTAAGTTTATGTCCAATATGCATATCATTCTACAGCTTTTATATATGCTGATATAATAATATATGCTAATATGTGAATATATTTCCTTAACATTATGTTTTGAATAATACCCTGTATATGCCAAATCGGTAGGAATATACAGTATTTATTTTAGAGAGAGTATTTATTTTAGAGAGTAGCATTGCTGAATGAATGTACTTGCTGCAAGAACATCATCCCTGACCAAAATTTTCTGGTGCGTATTTGTCCGTTTACACCCAGGGAACAATCTGATCTAATCAGATCTAATGTCTCAAATGTGTTGTAGGAGACAGTGGGAAGGTGACCACAGTGGTTGCCACCCCAGGCCAGGGCCCGGATCGCCCGCAGGAGGTGTCCTACACTGATATCAAGGTGATCGGTAATGGCTCCTTTGGCGTGGTGTATCAGGCACGCCTCATTGACAGTCAGGAGTGGGTGGCCATCAAGAAGGTACTTCAAGATAAGCGGTTTAAGGTATGACACACCCTCACACAAGCATATAAATACTTTGTTCAATAACAAATTTTTTAAGAGCAATTCCTGTGTACTAGTTCACAACTGCCTGATTTGGTACTAAATTACACATGAAATGTAACAGAGTTCGACTCCTAGTCTTTGACGTCAACAACAACAAAAACACTGTAAATCCTAAGTTAGAAAAACAAAAATAGTTTTAACAAACTACTAAATTAGTAGAACTTTAGTTAAATTTTTTCTATTACACAAGAATGTTAATTGTAATTAAACTGAAATATTGACTAGCTCACAAACTCAATTTTATTGCGTAACATCATATTAACTCTGAAAAATCACTTTTTTGCAGTTAACTGCTAGCCAGCAATAGCACTTTTGCATGTACTGATGTAACTAGTAAAGAGACTATCACTATAAACAGTAAGCGACATGGAATAGTTAATTTTTAATAGTTAACAGAACATATTAAAAATTTTATTTGGTAGTTAAAAATAAAGCAGAAAGAAATATAATAGATGAAAAACAAAAAAAAAAAAGAAAAAAATTTTTTTTTATTAAAAAATAAAATGAAAAAAGAACATACCAAAATATTAAAACTAAAATGAAAACAAAAATAAAAGCAAATTAAAAATGTTAATACGTACTATAATAATATATAAATAATACTAACATAACACTGATTGTGACCCACCAGTTGTAGATGTAAAGATTACTTAAAGAGCAATGTATTATGCAAACTATAAAGGCTTGTTCACACTGGGACGAATATCGCGCGTGATTATCGCCGACGTTTAACGCCTCCTGACTAGGCCTGTCGCAATAATCAATATATCAAATTATCGCACAATATATGTACATGACCTCAATCATTTTTGGTGACGCAATATATTGCTCATTATATTTACTTAAAAATTAATGTCTTCTTATCTTCTAATCTTTTGCAGCTTCCCGTACATAACGTGGTGTAGTCATGAGGTGCTAGTTCAAATTTAAAAAAAGCTTCTACAAACAAAGTTTAATCTGCAGGTATGGCCTTGTTTAGGGATCTGTGCCTTTGTGCATACGGACATCTGACTGCTAAGTAGTGATTGTGTTTTTCAGCAATAGTGTGCACCCTTCATTTACTGAGAAAAAAGGTCGGAAAAATCTGTAGATGGAAAAATCTCCATTTGAAAAAGTCTGCTTTTTTTTTTTTTTCTACTTGTTACTTTGCACTTTTTGTTAGAAAATGTTTATTTACTATTAATTCAGGTTTTTAAGGGTATGTAATATTTTGATACTTAATTTCCATGATCTAAATGTTTGTTGTCATTTGGAAGTGTGTAGGCCTTCTTGCATTATTATGCTGTTACATTATGATTATATATTCAGTGGCATAAAATGGTCTTTAAAATGACAATAATATCGCTTATCGCAATTATTTCTGGGGAAATATATCGCACAACAAAAAGTTGTTATCGTGACAGGCCTATTCCTAACTAAACAAAGGGCGCCAATGTGAGCGTGCACACCGACGCGCAAAACGCGAGGCGTAAAAGCGTCATTTTTTAAAAAACGCCTCGGGCTCGTTTTTTTGGTTTGACGCGCTGCATTAAAAACTGGCCGACCAATGAGATTGCCGCTTTTGTTCACGTGCCTGGAGCTGCTGAAGTAACAGTAAAACACGCGTCGAAAAACGTCGGCGATAAGTGCGCTCGATAGTCGTCCCGGTGTGTACGAGGCTGGAGTGTTATAAATTCTTTGTATGTTACCTGTCAGTCAACAGATGCTTTTCATTCAGAGTGACTGGCCTTACACTAATTGGGAGCAGTCTTGAGTTAAGAGACCTTCTCAGTCTCAATATTCTGAATTGAATATCTCACCAGTATGTTATTTGACCAACACCACCCTCTATTTCAGCCTTACACCGCTAACCGTTTCCATGACCCACAAGTGCTGTCCACTACCAAACCTAACACTGTGTCCTTGAACGAGGCACTTAAACCCAGGCTGCTGTAGGGGAATTGACTGTCGTGACTACTTGTGTGTAAATATTCTTATATATTCTATATTCTAATAGTCTTTCTTCTGTGTTCATGAAGAACCGAGAACTTCAGATCATGAGAAAACTGGACCACTGCAATATAGTGAGGCTGCGCTATTTCTTCTATTGCAGTGGAGAAAATAAATGCGGCCTTGTTGAAGCTAAGAGACTTCTTTCAAAAGCATTAAAAACTTACAGGGCCCAAACTTTTGAATAGTCTTGCATGTCATGAGAATATCTGTTAAATTAGGTTCGGATCGTTGTAGTTAAAAAGATAATGGTGACTCTTTTCATTCTGATAGCCTGTTCTATTGACAAGTATGTGCTTGTTGATTGTATGGGCATAAATAATGAGTTGGACCTGCTATAACAGCTTCCACATTTCTGGGAAGTCTTTCGGTTAAAAGTTAAAATATGGATACAAGCGCTTGCCCTTATAATTTTGGCCATGTAGTGTATTTTTGGCAAATTCAATTCAAGTTTATTTGTATAGTGCTTTTCACGATACCAATTGTTGCAAAGCAGCTT